GGAGGGAGGAAGAGTGTGTTTTGGGGGCGGGACTGGGATGGATTCCAGCACTGACAAAAAAAAAAAAAAAAAAAAAGGCAGAAAGGATTAGGCATAGAAGACAGAGAAAACAGAAGAGAAATAGTATGGGGAACACAACTAACAAAATTTGGTAAGGAACTGGCAGAAAGAGGACCAGCCTTTGATGATTCCCAGTCACCTACAAGTATCAAATCCAAATTCCTTAACAAATACCCCTCTGGATTTGATGCTGCCTACCCAGCCTTCTCCTTAAAATACCAACTTGTTATTTTACTCAACTCGTGTTATTTTCATATTTCTGTGCCTTTGCAATTCCCTTTGCCTAGAAAGTACTTTCCAAGGCAAACTGTTACTCATATAACACCAAGCTCAAAAGTCTGTAAGGCCATATAAAGAGGGGCCCCAAATCACTCAGGTCTTTGTCATGTCACCTCCTAGCTGTGTGTCCTTGGGCAAGTTACCTAAACTCTCTCAAGTTCCCTCACTGATTTAAAAAAAAGCAAAAACCGGATAGCCACCTTTGCAATGTGCTTATGAGGATTAGACCTAATGTTTGTTTTGAGGAGGGGGGCGGAGACAGGACAGAAAGTGTAGAATAAATAATACAATAGTTCTGACTGCTAAAATAAAAATCTTAAAAAGGACAGAATATTGTATTATCAGGAATGTGACCACAATAAAATTTTGGTTAGAACCATCTTTTTTTTTTTTTTTTTTAAATAAAGGTGGAAAGTCAATATATATAATACCTGACTCCAATTGCATTCTTTTTGCCCTCTGTAATAGTCAATATGAATCCCTAATGGCCACTGGTCCCTGGGCTTCACTGCACTCTTGTTCTCTGGCCTCTATACTTATTTTCTCAGTCTTCTTCCACAACTTGTCCTCTACCGACACCCAAAGGCAGTCTTTGTCTCAGTTACTCTTCTTAATCCACTCACAAAGCTTCAATTAGCATCTCTATGGCGATGACTCCTCCCACCTCTGTCACAATGAGAAACAATATTTCAAATTCAATTTATCCAAATAGACACATAATATCTTAGTTAATAAAATAACCAATCATACAGCTTAAGTTTCGGCTCTCATCTCCACCATTCTTCTCTTATACCTCACCAGTCCTCAGATTCCTCTTCCTTTGCCTTCTTATTGTTTGCCAGAGTGATTTCTTTGATTCTTCTGTTCTCAATGGTTCTTAGCTTTTCTGGGATAATGAATCCCTTTGGTAAATCTATTAAATGCTATGGATTGTATTCCAAAAATATGAGTATACAAAACATACACTTAGACTTTTACACATGACCCCCAAATAACAATCTGTGCTCCTTGGAACATAAGATTTTAAATATCATTCACTGTACACAAACTTCATCTCCAGATCCTACTCTTGTTATAAATTTCAAGATGCTTTCTATATAGCTCTAATGGCCTACAGGCATCATAAACTTAACAAGTCACTATTTCTTCCTTACAAACCTGCTCTACCTACAGTATCCCAAAACATGTTTTGGAATGAACAACTATGTCTAATCCATCACCAACCCCGTCTCATTCTATCTCAGAAATCTCTCTCAAATCCAAATATCAACATTTTTGTTTCCCTACCCTACATGTAAGACTCATCTCTTTTGCTTCTGCCCATACTTGCCATGATCATGTCTTGTCTTCCTACCACTTCTCACAAGAGCTTCTGTGAATGATTCTGTGTACTCAAGGCCCATTATCTTCACCTGCTACCTTCTACTACTACTGAAATTACTACACCTCTAGATAATTACAATGGCCCAGTTCCTTCACTCCCATTCTTTTTCCTGTCACTCTCACCAGTTTTGAGCTATCTTCACCAAAAATGTCAAAATTGACTTTGAATGCCTCTTTCAAAAATTCTAATGTTTAGCCAGGCACTGGTGGCTCATGCCGGTAATCTTAGCTACTTGATAGGCTGAGCTCAGAAAGTCTGAAGCCAGGCTGGGCAAATGGTTTTTGAAACTCCCCCATCTCTGAAATAACCAGAGCAAAATGGACTGGAGGTGTGGCTCAAGAGGTAGACTGCCTGTTTTGCAAGCACAAAATCCTTCGTTCAAACCCCAGTTCCACCAAAAAAAAAAGTTAGTTTCCCTTGTACAAATATACAAACTCATTCCTCTTCAGTGTGCCACCTAAGTACTCTTCCAGGATTAGATTCCACAGTTCAAGCTGTCACTTGCTCCTATTATCAGCCTATCAAAATCACACCCACTCTTAAAGGCTCAACTCAAACCCCATTAAAGATGAAGATTGTTACATCCTCTGCATAATGATTAGAAAGGGGACTAAACAAAACAGGCACAATTCCTAATGAACTGATTCAGGAAAGGAAAAAACTGCTAAAGAAATGCTGAAAATCCTTAAATCCTTCTGGAAGCATTAAGTTTTTAGAGCTCACTGTTCAAATATTAACTTTTCAGCTATGAAGCCCTCCATAAACTCAGCTCTGTTAATCAACAATGACCAAATGCTAATAATGAACAATTTAGAAGACTTAACATGAAAATAAAAGGCTGTAGTCTAGACTCAGGATTCACATTCCAATTATATTTGTATTTTACCTACAACTAAAATTTGCAATTTATTTAAAGTTACAGTAAGAGAACTAAGTATTTACATTGGAGACTTTGAAGGCCAAATAACTCTACAGCAGCAATAGAAATCGCTCCCAGTAATCCTAGCTACTGGAGAGACAGAGATCAGCAGGCTAGAGGTTCAAAGCCGGCCAGGCAAATAGTTCTTGAGACCCTATCTCGAAAAAAAACCAATAGAAAACAACAGGGCTGGTTCAAGTGGTACAGTGCCTACCTAGTAAGCACGAAGCCCTGAGTTCAAACTCCCAATACCACAAAAAAAAAAAAAAAAGAAAGAAAAGAAAAGAAAACAGCTCCCACATCTAAACCATCTTCAAATGATGGACATGCGCTAAGATTTTTTTGGTCCATATTTTAAGTAAGCTAATTTTCTTAAAATTGAAAGTATGAAGGACAATCACGAGCCTCTCATGAGACACATTTACTGGCATACTTACCAGCAGGTACAAGGGCAATGAGATATATGACAAACGATGCCACCAGCAGTACTTTCCATTACTTTTTAAGACCTTACTTCTTTTGGACTTGACTAATTTCTCTTTCGGCTCCAGAGCCTGTGAGTTCAAATTAATTTTTGCTATTTATATGCCATAAAGCACTTTTTTCCTAAAGAAAATAATAATACTCATGATTCGATAAAGTTTCTTTTTTTGTTCTTTAAAGAAAGGGGAGGTGGCTTAAGCCACTTGGGAGGTGGAGATTGAAAGGACAGAGGTTTGAGGGCAGGTGCGCCAAAAAGTTCAGGAAATCCCATCTCAACCCATTGCTGAGTGTGGTAGGGTGCACTTGACATTCCACAAATAGGACAGCGGTCCTGGACCAGGAATAAAGTGAGACCCTATCTCAAACAAACTAATAAAAAACGGGCTGGCTGTATGGCTAAACGGGTAAAGCGCCTGCTTAGCAAGCATGAGATCCTGAGTACAAACTCCAGTACGGCGCGCGGAAAAAAAAAAAAAAAGTCGACTAGTCTTCCTACTAGTTAAGACACTCGGTAAAAACATGCCCTCCATGCCATGTCTAAAATTAAGGCTATTCAAATCTAAATGCACTTCTCAAACAGATTTGCTCATATCTCACAGGAAGATTTGCTAAAATTCTGAACATATTAATAACTAAGGAAAGCAGGGTGTAATGGAAAAAGCTGCAGCATTTGAAGCAGGATCTTAGTCTACAATCAAAAAGCCTGACTCTAGTTCTGCGACCTTGAGAATTGCCTTCACCTGGAAATACTTATCTGAAAGACAAAATCCTTTCCTTCCTAACGGTGGCTATCCACGTAAAATTAAATAATGTAGGTAGCATACTACTACGGGGTATTCAGTACGTTATTTTTCTTCATTCGACACAAAATACACACAGGATTTTGGTGTGAGAATCTACTTCCACAAATCTTCATCAGCACAGATCACTACATCTAGCTTGTTCTAATAAAAACAATACTATCACCATCATTCCACAAACATTTCTGAGAGATTCCGATCAAGATGAAAGAGCCTGCGTGTGACTTTGCAAGAATTCCATTAAGGCTGCATATATTGACCCCTAAAACGTTAGTATGGAAAACTCCATATAATTGGGCTAAAATGTCTGAACACATTTATGCTGTTAAGAGCTCACTCTGGGTAAAGAGGGGAAAAAAAGTCAAATTAGGGCCAACTCCAGATAGATCTTTAATAAGTGAAGAGATGCTGGCTTAGCCCTCCTGAAACGCAAACAGTACGATATTAGCGTCCCCTAAAAAAACTTCAAGGTTCCAAATAAATAGTCCACGATCAACACTGGTGTCACTATGCTTTTTAGAAAGCTTGCGCAGGAAAGCACCATTGGCACCACTGGAGATATTTAAGGAAAGCTGATGGCTGTACAGAGGCGAGGGGAGAAAAATAATTATTTCGATGTTCTGCACACACGCTCGGGCCAATCAATTTCAAAACCACGGCGGCCACCAACACCACCGACCAGAATCTCACGGAATTCTCGGTTTTACAATCGAATGTCAAAAAGAAGACCGAGACGAACGAGGGACGCTTCCGTTCTCTTCCCGAGGGTCCAGGCTTGAAAATCCACGCCCGAGACCGACTCGGGGATCCCCGGGGTCTGGCGTCCGCCCCCTGGACCCTTCCCCACTGGTGAGCGAGGGCCGGCTCAGGAAAGGCCTCCCAACACCACTAAAACTGAACCGGCCCAGGGCCCCGCCAGAGGACCCCCGAGCGCGGACCAAGGAGAAACCTGCGGTCGGGGTTTTCTTGGCGCCGGAGGCCAAGACGCGGGAGAGGCCGCGACTGCGTCCGCTGCAGCCCCAGGCGGTGGGGTGGCCAAGCGCGGCCCGGCTTGCGGGCGGGCGCGGACACTCACCACACCATGCCGTAGGCGCCTTCGCCGATGTACGAGAGGTTGGTGTAGCGCGGCCCCACATCGAACACCTGCCCGCGGACCATCTCCGGGCCCGCGCCCGCCGCCGCCGCCGCCGCCGCCATGTTGGCTGCCGAGCCGCCGCCGCCGCCTCTGCCGCGCTGGGCTCGATGCTCCGCGGCCGCCGCTCAGCTCCTGCCGCGCTTCCCGGAGGGCCTGTGCCGTCGTCCGTGCAGTCACTGCTGCTGACCGGGAAGGAGGAAAGAGGAAACAAGCCAAGACTGAAGAAAGGTGCAGCGGAGACGGCAGCTCGACTCGACTCGACTGCCTGTCTCACTGACGGGCGGGCCGGCGGCGGGCGGAGGGAGGGGCGCGCGCCTAGGAGGGCGCCGGGCGCAGTCAAGAAGCGTGTGCACGGATTGGCCCCTTGTGGCCGTGGGGCGGGACCGCAAGGGCCGGCGGAAGCCGCGAGCTCGGGGCGGAGCACTGCGGCAGCAGAGGAGGCACCGCCCGGCGCGGTCACGTGCGTTTGCGGGCGAGTTGCGCGCGAGGTGGCCCTGGAGACGCTGAAGGAGACATTGGCGTAGGGACAGAGCCCACGGGACCGAGTCTGGGAGACGATCAGGGGCAGCGCGAGACACAGAGCGGAGGCCTGACCGAGCCAGAGAGGGACCAGAGGCTGTACACTTGAGGCCCGACGCCTTAACCTCACCGACCACTGGACCCTGGGGCAAGCCTCTGCGAATCTGTGGCCCACACACTGATGAATTTAGACCTCCAGACTAGGAAAGAAACCGAAAAGCATGACCGAGACCTAGAAAGAATATTTGCATACCGAGAAAGTGTGAAACACAAATGTGGAGACCAAACGAGAAGACTCGAGTGAATCTGCTAATCAGAGGTTTGTTCAGACAGTATTTATTGAGCACCTTTACGGAAGGGTAGGGAGGAGATAAATATAATACTTAAGCTGTACATGCCGTGAAGAAATACAGAGAGGAGAAAGGGATTACACAGTACTGGGTTGAGACACTTGAGAAAGACATTGAAACTTAGATACAGAAGAGTAGATAGTTATCCATGGGATACACTGAAATATAAACGCAATGGTGGAATTGCTAAAACTGAAACATTAATATTTAGAAAAATCTGCATGGACACTGAGGCCCAGAAACATTCACAAACACCAGAGATTGAAAATTGGAATCCTGAAGCAGGTGAATGCTAAGAAAAGCTAAGAGAATGAGATAGCGGGTGATCCAGCCACTGCCCCTGAACTATTTCCCTACCATCTCTGGAGCGGGAAGTAGGAGTGACTGACCCCTCATCCTCTTTAGCCAATACAGATCTCCCTTAATGACATCCCATGTGAACTTCTAGATCAACTAGTCAATCTCAGAGGAGAATAAACAAGTCTTAAAAACCCTGGGAACTGGGGGTGTAGCTGAGTGGTAGATGCTTCTTTAGCATGTGACAGACGCTGGGTTCAATCTGCAGCACCAAAACCAAAACACCTCTGGGGGGAAAAAGGAACAAAGGATTAGAACGAAAAAGTTTACCTTCAAAATATATTTAGACCATGAAACAATTCTAAAACCCAATTTTAGAAAACACGGAGTTGTTATGGCTCTACTAAGAGGATGTTTTATCATTTTTTAAAGGCCAAGATAAATGGAGAGTACCATAAAATTAAAGCCACAATAACCAACATAGAAGCAATAGTTGAAACAATAAAAAACAGACTTCATGCAGAAGAGAAAATCAGCAATATAGAAGATATGTGAGAATATTTCACAAATATGGAACAAAGTAACTGAATTCTTTAAGAGAGGAGATAATAAAGATGGAGATCTTCATGGGAATTCAAACAACAGGTATTCTCGAAAGAAAACAGCAAATCAATTAGAAACAATAAACAAAACTGTGATGCAAAAAACCTTTCCTCAGGTCTGAAAAATCTGAAGTAGAGGTGGAAAATCGTGTGGTTGCACTAGGATCCAGCAAAATAATTAAGCAGAAACCAATTTCAAGACTGCATCTGGAGCCATGTGGTACATACCTGTAATCCCAGGTATTTGAGAGGCAGAGGCAGGAGGATCTCGAGTTTGAGACCAGCCTGGGCATGGGTAATGAAACCCTGCCTCAAAAACAAAATAGAAACAAAAATGCTGGGATGTAGCTCAAGTGGTAGACTGCTTGCCTAGCATGCATGAGATTTTGGGTTCAATCCCCAATACTTAAAAAAGGGAAGGGGGGAGGAAAGGTAATTAAGAAAGAGATAGAGTGAATTTGATCAAAGTACATGTTATGCATGTTATACATATCACAATGAAACCCCTTTATGCAAGTAATTTATACTAATTTTTCAGTACATAAATGAATAATTCCATTAAAAGAAAAAAGACAAAGTCTAGAAAAACTGCTGAATTTAGGCATAAAAGACAAACACACTAACAATATCCAATCTGGAAATAAAAGTTATTTATTTAAAAAGCTAAAAACTGACCTTCGGATTCTTTCTCTGCAATAAATGCTGAAGGAAAATGAAAGAAGACTGTCAGCATTTGGAAGGGGTAGTTTGCGGCCCTCCTTGGATGATTTCATTCACTCTAATGCCTTAATTCCTCCTAGATCTTTACTGCTCAAAAATAACTCAAGCTTCAGGTCAGTGTATCTACCTGCCCACTGAACAGCTCCATGTGAGCTCTCACAGATGCATCAGCTCCACATATCCCAACTGCCAGTGGTTAATTGGATGAGTTCTAAGCTCAGAATGTCAGGTTTGAATCTTGGCTGATCCACTTACCCCAGCTGGTCTCGGTTTCTCCAGACTTAAAATGGGGATTTCAACAACATTCGTAAATTGGTTGTGCAGAATAAAACAACACACGTGAAGAGCCTGGCATGTAGTCATTATGCACCCAATAAATGTTATCTGTTATTATCCACTCCACCCAAACCTGTTCCTCATCTTGTATCAGCATCACCTTCACTCAAATACTCACACTGGAAATTTAGCTATAATCTTAGTGCACTTTAGGCTGGGGTGAAGGTCAGGGTAGAACATTTGTCTAGCAATGCATTTTACCTCACTCTAAACTCACCATCACCACCTAAACACTACAAATTCTTACACATTTTATTTAATATTTCAGAAATCTTTTAAACTCAAAGTGTGGGATCCAGACCCAGCAGCATCAGCATTTTTGGGGAGTGTTAGAAGCGCAGCATCTCAAACCTACTAAATCAGGATCTGAATTTTACCAAGATCCTCTTGTAATTTGTATGCATACTAAATTTTGAGAAGCACTGTTTTGTATGTAACCACTCCATCTGCATTGTCTCTCTGTTGGTTTAAGCCTGATGCATCAACTCACTGAGGTTAGCACAATGGCCTTAACTCCTCTCAATGTTGCTTTTCCTACCAGAATCAGTCTTTCCATAACAAACCTGACCATCCCCCCCCACACACACACACACAACCACCACCTTTTTTTCTTTTTGCTGCTGGGGTTTGTACATGCTAACCATATGCTCTACCTCCAAGCTACCCCACCCACTGCAACTCAGCCCCTCTGCTTCTTAAGCTAGTCAGTGGCCCCTATTACAGTCAGAATGAGGCCTTTGCTGACCACTTCTCCACCCCAATCTCCTCTTCCTCCCCTCCTTGCCTTCCATGAGTCATCCAGAATAGACTCAGTGCTCTCTTATCTTCTGGTCATAGCGTGTACCCATCTCTGTTCCTGTTCTTTCTCCATTTATCCAGCATTTATGGACATTTTTTTATTGACCACACTGGCAGAGTTTCACACTTGTAGTCACCACACCACTGTGCAGTTCCGATGCTTTGCTTTTCGCCAAAGCTATGCCTCCCACATGGCCCCTGTGGCCAACTGGGCACCTCTGATAAGAGCTGTGCATATGCCAGTGCCAGCAGTGAACTGGACTCATCTGCTGCTGCATCCTGGCAGCTGGGTCTGATAACTGCTGCAGTTAGGTTTGCGGCAGCATGGCTGTGGGCTCTGCTGATTGGAATACGTAGGATCATGCTATCACTAGGAGCATCAAAAGAGGAAATAATGCTGAGCTGTCAAAGGCCTGACATCACTTTCCGGAAGCCTCAGGGAACCTGGCCAGTGCAGCAATAGCGGCACTGGCAACAGCAGCAACATTTTGGTGCTTCACTCTCTGAGATGAAACAGTTTGCAGAGTATGTCCAGACAGAGTAATGTTAAGCTTTGTGAGGATTTCAGTAAAGTGCTGAAATGGTACAGAATTGCAAATGGACTTACCTAATCAAGTAGTTCAAATTTGAAAAGATGGAAAAATGATTCTCAAGGCCAAGTTATTTTAGCATAAAAATGTAACTGACAGTACATTGAAAGTATAAAGTGTAAAGCCATCAGTTAAACTTCTCTATTAGTAACTTTCTTGCTTTAGAATTGTAGTAGAAGACGCTGGGTTTTCTTTGCATTGAAGTTCATTGAGATGGTGTAGACCTTGAGGCTGGGCAAATATGTATGTGACTCCTTAAATCAGCTGTTGTGCTGTCATTGTGTGCTAATTAAAATGAAGTGATTTTTCTTACAAAAAAAATACCACATTATCATGGCATAATGCATCTGACCACTATTTTTTTTCTAAAGCACTCCTCTTGCATGCTTCCATGGATACTGAAGCAACCTTATGGTTAGAACTTGGTTTCTGACAAGGAAAGTGACCTGACCAGTGGACATTACCATTCAGATCCTGTGGCAATTACTGCTCATTCTTAGATGAAGTTTAATCTCATCAGTCTCTGTTGAGTCAGGTTAGTGTGAGTCAGGCCTGCAGGGAACAATGATCTAGTTACACTGACAACCAATTTCTGGAAGCGCAAAGCTGAGAAGGAAGCTCTGGAACACTGTGAGACCATACTAAGCTACCTTCTAAGCATAAGGCCCTGCTTGGCTGGCTTGCTGGCTACCTGAATGTCTTCCTTATTGTCTCCAGATTTGTGGCAGTTCACAGATGTGCAAAATCTTAGAAAACAATGGTCATATGTTATTTTTGCCTCCCATCTTCAATGATTATTCCTTTTGTAGCAACAGCCCAATTTTTCTTTGGTAAACTGTCCTATCTGCACATTCATGTGGTTTGATAGGCTCACCCTAATCCAAAGTTCCAAGAATAAGCATGTGACCCAGGGCTCCCCGATCAAAATCACCAATGTTGCCTGGAAGTACGAACATGTGACCTGATCCAAACCAATGACACTCAGCACAGAGTTTTGCAGAAACTGTTGAAACAGAGGTGTCCTTTCTGCTGGGGAATCAGGGCAATGAATGGAAGCCCAGGACTCAATATGCCATGATAAAAAATGCTGTTTGAGA